ATACCGCGCGGCTTGGGGGATGGTAAATAGATCCCTGATACAGCAGTGTTTGATACGGTGGTCAACGGGCGACCATAGCCAATAGAAAAGCATCTCCCAAACAAACGCAACATGTCCCCGCGCAAAGGTGGTTTCCTCTTACCCTGAGCATGCTGCGAACTTATACTTAATTATAAGGTATTCAATCTACGTGTTCCTTTCAATGCAGTGTTGCCTCTTTTGGGCGAACCAGGCTACACCGGCAGGTTCTGCATGACGATTCAAGTTGTAGCGTCGCTTGGATTTCCTTCCCTCCAACATCCCGAGACCTCCCCCCCCCCCCACACGTTTCTCTCAGGTTCTCAAGGGCAAGACCCTCCCCAACGGCAAGTCTTGCTTCGAGGGGCGCCCGGGAGCGGAGATGCCTGACTACAAGTTTTCCAAGGAGGTAAAAGGAAAAGAGCGAAGCAAGATAGATGGATTGTATCGTCATCTTGATGGTATTCAGGGTCCCGTGCGTCATCCAAACAGCAGTGGATGCATACCGAGCCCCCCGAGTCTCCGTCAGACCCTCTGCATGGAAGAGTATTATAGATATTGCAGTACTCATTTGACCATGAAACCCACAGTGCTCACTGGAAGCCAAAGGCGTCCTCCAGGTCTGTAGGAACACCCGAGACTTGTAGCGATATGTGTTTTTTTTTTGTGTTGTAAGCGTGCCAGTTGATTGGTGAGGGATGTGCAAGTTGGAATAATCGATCGGCTCGCTTGTAGGCTGGCCGAGCATCCACGACCGCAGCAGTGTACTGGTACGCGTAAACGTATACCTTTCGGCAGATTTTTTTACCGTGTTCATGGCACTAAATGCTTGGAAGCTTCGTTCGTTACAATCTCGTCCGGATGCCAATGCCTCCCTGCTGATTTATTCTTTTCTGGTTCATCTCTTCTGCTGGGACGCCGTATTGTTCCACTATGCACTTTTTTTTTCCCCGTTAAGGGATGCCGTAAACCACTCGGCTCCACTCGCACTCTGGAATATTTCTTGTTTTTTTCTCACACACTTGAACTGAGTATGTGTGTGCGTGTTTTCTTTCCCTCTCTGTGCCGTTGCCGTATTCCTCCTTCCGATGTTTTACCGTCGTGTCTTGGCACCCCCCCTCAGATGCGCCAGCTGGTCGGAGAGCACGGTGTCGCGGTGACGGAGCAGGACCTCATCAGCCACGCACAGTACCCGGCGGTCTTCAAGGTACACACAAGGGAAAACAAATCCATGCCTCCTTTTTCATCTCTTGATCTTGTTTCGGTCGGCTTTTGTCATCCCTCGCTCAGAGTTTCATCCGGTGTTCGTGCATGTCCACTTTTTTTTTTTTTTGAGATGGCCTGATTCTTGGCCGAATCGAGTCGTACGCTGCCGCCAATGATTGCGTCTTGCGGCCTCTCGCCTCAAAGGGACAGCGTTTTTCTTCTCTGAAGAAGTAACGCTGAGGACATTTGGCGGGTTGACATCGTTGCACTGGCATCGGTGGCGGCGAGTCGCAAGCTTTCCGATCCGATCCCCCTCTAGCACCAAGCATGGGGTATCCCAAATAATCGCCAAGCGTCTAAGCCTCACACGTGTGTTTCTGCTCCGGTGTTGAGGGGGCAGTACTGCTGTTGTCATGTTACTTCTGCAAGTTTTCGTCGGGAGTATCGCCCATACACACGGAGGTTTTGCGCACATCCGTCCATTTTTATCCCATGCCTTCCGCCTCGTCTCTGAGCTCGTCTCTGTCTTGTCCCTCTCTCTCTCTGGATACCCTCCGCGCTTCTCTCCCATCTCACACTTTTCCTTCTTGGGGTTTCTCTCTCTCTTTTCGTTTCTCCGCTCTGCAGGAGTTTACCAAGTTCCGTGAGGAGCACGGGGACCTGTCGATCCTCGACACCAGGACATTCGTCTCCGGCATGAAGACGGGACAGGTATGTATGCGTTGTACGCACGTATCGGCGATACACGGGGCCTCTTTTTTCCCGCCGCATTTTTGTCAGCTGGCGTCTCTTGTTGTGGTTGCTGTGGTGGGTCTTGGCTTGTGTCGTATTGCTCAGCACGAGGTACATCAATAGGTGCACGAGGCCCTCCCGCCGACGTTGTTCGAGTCCCGCAGTGTTGCCTTCTACCGACTGTTGCTGCTGCTGCTGCTGCTGTTGCTGTTGTTGTGGTTGTGGTTGTGACTTGTGTCCGAACTATTATAGCCAAATCGTGCTCTGTCTCACCGCGTTGTGTTCTTCTTTCTCACGCTAAACATCGGACCGGATGTTCCTCTTCCCCCCTTTTTGTTTCCCCCTTCGGCCTCGTGCCTGTGCTTGTGCCGCGTTCGCCGACGGCGTCGATGGTCCTGCAGGAGATTTCGGTGGAGATCGAGCACGGAAAGGTGAGACACAGCAGCAGCTGCAGCAGCAGCAGTTTCTCTTTCTGACCACCTGCGTAAACGAAGATTTTTCGCCTTGATACACGCACGAGTTTGCCGGCACGAGTTTGCCGGCGGCGCGATTTTTTTTTTTTTTGCCGGGGCAAATTCTCCCTGAATGTCATTCGAACTGAAGCGCAGCTCGGTCTTTTTTCCTACCCCCGTTGTCAGGCGTGTTCACATCGGTGGTTCTAATGAGTCGTGATCGATCGTGTTCACCGTGTGGCCGGAAACCAACGTATGCACCAGATCTTTGTTACAGGTGTTGACTAGCTTTTGCGCCCGTCTTTTGCCGTGTTTTCTCTTTTTTTTTTTGCGTCCGACAGGTGCTGTTCATCAAGCTGATGAGCGTGCAGGAGCCCGACGAGGAAGGGTCTCGCAGCGTGAGTACTTCAGTGGCTTCGATCGTCGACCCATCGATCTATCACAATGATCTATCCGATCGACTGCAACGAGCTATTATTAGATCAGTTCCATGTCTGAATGCAGTTACAGTTCATATAATAGCAGCAATAAACACGGCATTAATCCCCTTCTCTCAAGCAGAAGGCCCATCCAACTGAGAGCAACAGCAGTCGTGGAGTCGGCACGACCGTGCGATCGTCTCGGTTCTCGCTGGCCGCCCCCTCCCAACCCACGATATGAACCCGGGCATTCGGCCACGTAAAATTGTCACCCACACCCGACATGTCCCACAAACAGAGCCCCCGGCTAACTAAATCGAGAAAAAGAGTTTACGAAAACTCCGTACCGCTACGCGCAACACAGGTGACGTTCGAGCTCAACGGACAACCTCGCGTGGTGCGCGTGAAGGACAAGTCTGTTGCCGGGTCGATCACCGCTCGCGGGAAGGCTGACGACTCCGTCGTCGGATCCGTCGGTGCCCCCATGCCCGGCGTGGTGGTCGGAATCAAGGTGCGTTGCTTTTGTTGTTATTGTGATCCACATACAGCAGTAGGGGGGCTGTTTAGTGTGTATGTGCCTAGAGCATAACCGGCACTATAAGGGACACCGACACGATGCAAAGTGCGGAACGACTTGGTGACTCAGTCTGTGCCAGCCGAACAACCGAATAACCCGCCACCGGCACTACGAAGCCCCCCCCCCCCCCCCCCCC